TTTTTTTTTTTTTTTTTTTTTTTTTTTTTAAAGCCATGTGATCAACTTTCCAATTAGTGGCGGTAAAATGGTTAAAAGAAAATAATTATCCACCCATATTATGTGGAAAAGCATGTGCTTGCACAATGAAATATATGCCCGTGACTATTTCTGAAACTTGCGAATTTACAAGTTGGCTTTTGACCATTTGCTGAGTATAAAAGTTGTAGATTGGAAGCGTATTGGCGAGGTTGTTGTCATAGTCTCTCTCATGTTCAAAAGTGTGAAGTTTTATAATGAAGTATTTTGCTATGACCAGTTCGGAGACTTGCTTTATGGTGTGACAGTGTGAGCTACCCCTTTTACTCTCTTCCCCTCCTATTCTTTTGAATTTAAATTTAGTTGGTTATTCATTAACACAGGAGAATTAAGCTTCTTGATGTCAAGTTATCACTATCCAGATCTTGCATGATAATATTTTGTTTAGATTTGTGTTAGTGAGGATGGTTTCACTTTCTTACACAGAATTTCTTTATTAACTCTAGTTGATCTGTCGAACTTTCAAGTCTTCAACAGAATGCTGTCTCGCTAACAGTGTTTGTCCTCCTTGCAGCTCTGGTCAAGGCTTTGCATGGGACGTTTTGTTCTACATACATTTGTTGTGGTGCATCTACCTTACCAATATATTCTGGAGTCTTGTTTTGATGTTGCTTGCACTTGGCTAGTATTGTCCGAGGTCTGTGTCAGTGGGGTTTTGGCCTTGAAGTTGTGCATTGGTTGTATTGCATCTACATTGCCAGTATAATCTGGAGCCATTCTTGGGCGTTATCAGCTGCAGTTTTCTATATTCTCCTACTGTTTTTTCAGTTTAGGGCTCTTTTTTAAGGATTAAAACTCCTCTTGGCTTGCATTGTATTTAGCACTATTTCTTCATCCATCTGCTAGAGGTGCACCTAATTTTATTTTTCATAGCATGCTCTGTGACTGATATTTGGGACATTGTCTCCTCGTTGTGCTGTTTTCTGATTGGGATTATGTTTGATGTAATGAATTTTATGGCCATGCCAATTTTTCATCGTTCTGCTAGGAGCCTACCAAATATTATTGGTCATATAGCTTACGCTGGGAATTTTATAAGCCTTGCTATTTTTGAATCTAGCTAATATGCAAGTTGGGCTGTGACCATTTTGCTGAATATAATAGCTCTGCTTCTTTCTCGGCATTGTTCAGAGTTGCAGAGTTGTATATGCACGCGTATTGTCACGACCCAAAATCCCACCTCAGGCGTCGCGATGACAACTAGTCTCTAAGACTAGGTAAGTCGATTTCAATTACATTTCGAAGCCATTATTTTTATAAGTAATCAAAACTAACAGCGGAACAAATATGAATATATCACGAAGCACAGTTTTCCACTGCCCAGGTTTAACCCTACGCGATCTCAAATAATGACACGCGATCGCGATGCACAGAGTTCCTATCTCTATGCGATCGCAGCCCTCTTCACGTGATCGCATAGACCAAGCGCGTAACCACCACTTCTGCTCTGGTACTCTACGCGAACGCAACCATTGCTACGCGTTCGCGAGTCACAAAATCCCAGAGCTACGCGATCGCATCCCTCTTCACGCGATTGCGTAGAACAAAACTCAGCAGCCCCCAATTAAACCTACGTGATCGTAGATATCCCCACGCGATCGCAGAGAATAAAACTCCACTGCCCAACTAAGCCTACGCGATCGCAACCCCATTCATGCGATCGCGTAGAACAAATTCACCTCTGCCCAAATTACCCTACACGATCGCAGACGGATTTACGCGATCGCGTATAAGGAAATCAGAAGAAAATACCAGCAACTATCAGCAATCTCCCAAAA